AAAAAATTTTTTTTAATTGAGTTTTGGAAGCATTAGCCGATAACCGACATTTACAAAGTGGAAATGCAGATCAAATTGTACAGCTTAATTAAACATAACAATAGTGATAACTTAGAGATGTAGTACCAGAACGCTTCCGCTGCAAAAAAAAAACTACGATGTGTAGCTTACGGGTTGTAAGCATGAAAACTTCAGCGGAAGTGATCTTTACATGTTACATGTTACATCTTAATTCACTACTGGTTGCAATCTGTGGAAGCTGTCTACGTTTTTTCAACGTGCCCAAATCCAATATAGAAAATTCTATGAAATGAATGTTCCTGAATTCTGATGAAATCTGTAAAGGAATCATTACCATCATTTTCTAGGAAAAAGAACGAGGACTGGGTGATTTGAAACAATCTAAACAGTTTCTTTTTCATTCCCAAAAAATAAATTTCGGTGCGACAAAAACTGTGCCTTTATTGCTTATTGTCAGCTTCGGCTGTTCACCTTTGAAAAAAATGCGGTCATTGCTTCCGATTAAAATATCAATCTGGATATCCCAACATGTTCAGAAGCATTGAGGATTTTTTTTTCTGTGAAGCTTTTGGTTGGAAGAGAATTGTTCTCTGAAAACAATCTCCTTTCAGCTACAAGTAATATTCTCTGGAAATATTTTTTATGGTAGTTCTGAATGCTACGTTTAAGAACGTAATGCAGACTTGGTTTGTGCAATCGCACAAAACTGAAGAAACTGCTATTTTCCGATGTTTTTACCAATAGTTTGTTTGTTATTCTGAATCTACGTCATATGGCTGCTTTCTGTAAGCTATCGCGACTATTCGCGACACTTTACGGTTTTTTTTGTGGCAGTCGGGAAAATTTGGTCATTAAAAAACCTTGCATCACTCAGTAGATTTTTCCTGTGAATTGATCAAAAAATGTCGCAGTGCAGTCCAATATGGAACAAACAATCACAGATTGGGAAAAAATTCTTTTTTTTGAATGTGCGCACAATCACAAAAAAATGCATCAAAGTGACAAACGTTGAGATTTCCCAGAAATGTGACTTGTCACTTCCAAGTTTTTTTTTGAACCATAACGGAAATGCTTCATCCAGCACTATAACTTACAGAAATAATAGCTTGATCAGAGCTTAGAAGATCTGTCTTAGAGCTTGATGGAATGCAATTTGAAAAATCTCACTTGTGGTGAGTGATAGAAGGAACGGCTAAATACGTGGCGGTTATGCTTTGCCATTATCTGAGTAGGCAAATATTCAAGCGCTCGCGCTTCGAAAGTGGCGAGTAATTGGGCTGGCGGCAATTTATTTTAGGCGGTGCTCATTTAGCATTGAGATATAGGAATAGGTTGACGAGGGCATTTTACGTGTACGACTAGCGAAGCGTCATGCTACTCATATACTTTTCATCCGCTCTCTTGCGTCTTTCATTTGATAGGATGCTGGAAAGTAGGTTTCGTATTCACCTGAGAGTGTCGAAAAGCATAAAATGTTTGACTGGAAATGAGATATGATTCAAATTTATGAATTTAATCCAAAAAATTTTTCAAACATTCGCTATCAACAATGTCAGCCGGATTTCACAGCAGCAGTTTTTTTTGATCCGTGGAATTGCAGTACGTAATGATTTTAATTTTCAAAATTCTACATTCTGGAAATAAAAACAACTTTGAAACTATACTGAATTGTCTACGAGGTTGTCGTAAAGACTGCTTTTTTTTACACTACATTGCAAAAATTCTCTGAATATTTTGCAATGTAGTGGCAACACAACATTAATAGTCTGAAAACAAGATGTTTTGTCATTTATTTTGATAAAAGTTTTGTAGTACTATTAACTAAAGCTAAAGTGGGGTCACATGGGAGGGAAATGATATTCTATGTATCAAATAAAAAGTCCGCTTTTCTCTCACTGTTAAGATGAGAGAAAATTCCAGCAAAGCTTTACAGTAGCTACGTACCAACGAATTCCAATGCGTTTTCTTCTGAAAAATTGTAGAGTTTCCGAAGAATACTCCTTAGTGGGTTGTCAATCACTTAGAATCAGAACTAAAGTAAAAAAAAGATGATGAGAACTGTGTTGACTTTATGGCGTAGCTTAGTGAGAAGTGATTATGTGTTTGAAGCTCTTTCAGAGTTTGCATTCGCTTTCCATGGATAAATAGTCATATAAGGATGCAAAATGCTTCAGTTTAAATAATGCACTGCTGCGCAAATACGGTTGCAAGCTGAGTATTCTATGCTGCACATTAGATTATAAAGATTTTTACTTCTACAATATAAAGATTTTCACTTCTACATCTAATTCTATTTCGACAATGCATATAGCGCTTTTCTAATCTCCAGCAATCTCAAGCAAGTGGCCCCTCTGTAAAGCATTCGAATCTATAATATATCGAGTTTTTTTTCTGATACAAATATTAGTTCATAGATTTGTGGAACTTGTGAAAAAAAAAACGTTTGGCATATTGAATGACATATTCCTATGAAAATCAACATTTTTTTTTCTTTTGAGGTTGCGTCCGCTATGTCAAAAATGAGCTAAAGATCAACATCTGTAACTGCAGTTTCTGCTCAGAATTCTTGAAATAGAGGCTTTGTAGGGGTAATAAACATGAATGTGTTGCTGAGTTTTAATAAGGTGACGACTTTTTTTATGAATTTGAAGTGGACTTTTGAAATCTGTCTTCTAAAAAAATTTTCATTCACTTTTTTTTGTTTATTGAATGGGGGACGAATTCTAGAATACGTACCGCTAATATCAGAAGAGGAGCAAACGCAAGGAGAGCTACTCGGTCTACATCTACCGCGTGCTCAAGCAGGTGCATCCCGACAGAGCATTAAAGCACTCAGAAAATTTTTGTTGATGGAGAAGATTGCAGTAGAAAATTTAAAAAGGAACTTTCGCACTTAAAATCATTTTTCAAGGTTTAATCAGTTTCAAGAGTCTTGCTTCAAAAATCTTCGACGTGACTATTCTTCCATGAGACCCCCTAATCTGGCCAGAAATGAGCAGGGTGAATACGCAGCATAGATAGCGCAACCGTAGAGTAAGTTGCGAAACTTGACACTACTCGGCGTAATTCTTTTAGTCCACGGTTTTCCTTGCTTTGTTTCTTCCTCAGACTCTGCGTATCAAAAAAAAAACGAATCTGAGAAAACAGGATGAACAAGGGATAAGCGTTACCAAAACTGCCGAAAATGTATGGTGAGACATATGATTCACTCAGCCAGTGCAAGACTGATCAGCAAAGAACAGGTGCTGCTTTTTTAATAACGGGCGTGAAATACGAAGAAAATTGCCGATCAAATTGCCACACATTCAAAAAATCCTTCACGGAATCTTACAAACCAATTTTCTTTCTGTCAAATTTTAGCATAAGATGACACCAATGACTTGTAATAACGACTTCTTCGTTGAGTGCGGCATACGTGTATATACACACATACATACCATACATACATACCATACATACATACCATACATACATACCATACATACCATACATACATTCCATACATACATACCACACATACATACCATACATACATACCATACATACATGCCATTCATACATACCATACATACATACCATACAAAGATCAGATTCTTGTTCATTCTCTAATGAGTTTAGATTGCAAAGTTGAGAACAAAATTGAAGAAGATCGCTCGAGGTTTGATAATCTTGAGCAGGTCTGTTAATCAAAAACTATGCATGTAATTTCCAAAACAGTCAATGACATGGGTTTTCAAATTTTCTCTTTTACTGCGCTAGATTTTTGCTGATCGAGCTCTTCTTTGAAAGTTATGATTTTCGAAAACGCCAAAGGAAAAATTGGTTTTTTGACATTTTTCTCATCCATCAATTTTTACATAAAAGTTCGATCAGCACAGAAAATTTTCAATCAAAAAGAGAAGACGAAAGCTTATGAGTCATCACCCTGACTTTTTCGAATTTTATTGCACAGTTTATATGTATATCCTCAAGTATTTGCTTAAAATGATCATGCTCAGGAGATCTCCTTTCTCCATTTTTATCTGTGCTTAGGGTTTGGTAGAGAGTAAGCAACGCATTAGAAAGCACTAGATCGTTCAGGAGCTCGTGTCGTTTTCAGGCCTCTATTGAATGATAGGCAAACGCTGCAAAAAGTGATTGATGACAAAAAAATAATGGCATGACACGGAGTGTCAAATGAATAAACAAACACTTGTGTCATCCAAAATCTTGTTAAAGGCGAGTTGCTTCGAAATGTAGGCCTGATGGGGTTGCACAGTAGATGCTGACAATCTCCACACATCAGCACTCACACCATGGCGGCAGCTTGGATTCATGGTAGCCCACAAAAACTTTCCGGTGCTGAAGCGGCGGTGAGGGGGGAATAGGGGGTGAGAGTGGGAGCAGATACATGACTCGATATCATAAATAACATTACCCCGCAACTGCTGACAGCGGTAAGCTCTTGGACTGGTGATTGTCTCGGGCTCCGCGGAACTTTTGCGCAGACTGTGAGTCATGACCCATGACCGACTTGAAAAAGCTCAATGAAAAATAAATTTCACAAAACATTCCAAGATTCAAGAATAATTGAGCATGGAACAGCTCATTCCCAGCAATAGAGACAGAAGGTAATATCATATTACATACTGTCGAGTAGATTTAGCGGTAAATATAGTGTGCTTGCACAGAAGGTGAAATGCGGTGAAATTTGCGCGTGAACAAGTAGCCACGTCAGTAGCGCGGGTATCGTGCGCGCGCAATTGGCCGGCGTCACAGTCGAAACTATTTCTTCACGCGCCAATTTTACCGCTTCACCTTCTGTGCAAACACGCTATATTTACCGCTAAATCTACTCGACTGTAAGTTGTTCGCTTTTCCCTTCACTCGCAGTCAAGTTCTGGCTAATAGCACTGGCGGAACGAATGGTACAAAATAAAGCCCTTGAAAATCGACATGGAAATAGAAAATGAAAGCTTTATCTAGAAAAGAAATTATGTTTATTTTATGATCGGCCGATTCCACATTTGGGTGTATATATGAGCATAAGCCTCTTGTTCATCCTTTCTGCTTGTCATCCGCTTCATTTGGGCCACTCTCAGTTTATCTGCACGTCTAATTACATACGACAGGATTAGCGGGGAGAGCAGTGTGTAGTAGGGGACGATCTGAAAAATGGAATAAACAGTTCTGAATGTCGTAGCGCTCTACTTACGTAAGCCGCCGTAATCTCTATCCGATAGGTCAGCGTGGAGAATTTTTCATGATACATATTGACAATTCCACCGTTGAGCGAAAATATCGCATAACAAAGTGTTTCAAAAATTGACAGCGGGAGCATGATCTTCAAGACATCGGCGTTTTCTCGAACTTGGTAAGAAGAGCGTAGATCAAATTTGTCTCTAAATAGTAATTTCTTTGAGGGCTGCAAGTAGCTGACTGGAATATCTGCTTTAAGATAAGGCATGCCAGGCGGACTGAATGTGCGAAGTATGCCGCTACAATAACTTTTCAGAGGACTGGCACAAAATCGAGGCAATGGCAAATGATTGCATGGTTCGATGCTTAAAACAAAGCTGTACCTTATTCGTGTAACTTTGTTTTTTACAAACAAAGCTACCAATCCTAACAACGTAGCTATATTGATTCCGCACATAGTGAAACATATATTTTCAAGGTGGTCCCTGGTACGAGACGTTGCTATTGAACAGTATGTCACCTTTTCTTGCAAATCCACGTTTTCCAGTAACCAAAACGTAGCTCCTATTGGTATCAATATCTAAAGCAGTCTTTGTTGAAATCGTTCCTCTCCCATGACAATGTCATTCGTGATGGAACTTACACAGAGACCCGCAGAAGCATAGCCGAACTGCGGTCCATAAGAGCCGTAATTGCGATGTTTCCATAGCGCAAGCACTCTTTCCACCAACGACATAAACTGAAGGGAGAAATGATTCGACTTGTAGCTTTGTCGGTCATGTTTTCGGAAAAAGTTGAACGTATATAAAATTGTGCTTACTTGGAAAAGCGAGAATGACATCATACATACCGTTGCAGGTGAACGTAAATAGACGCACAGCAATGCAGAGAGCCCCACCTGGCATGGATCCGATATCACAAAATAGCTTATAAGCTGAAGTGTCTGTAAATATTACAAGTGTACCTAGAAGGACAGCTCTTTGTAACCAAAAAGATAAGCACTATTTTGAAAAGAAAGATCTAAATCCGCGAAAGTTCCAACGGAGTACCACCATTGCGAAAATGTTCCTCCTGCTCTAATCACCTCCATTCTTAGTCCATTTTCCTTCGATGGAAGAGTTTAGTACAATTTGCATTCTTTCAGGCTACATTTGCAATAATTTCTGTTTAACCTATTACACAATTTTCTTAAACCGATTTTCTCGCTTATCACTAATAGCTTGAAACGGCGATAGCCTGTGGTACAGCCCTCTTCAATCAAGCTGACGTTTGGTACCCACCTGAGGTGCGAAGACTTTGCAGCTGTTAAGTAGTGGTATACTTTAGGCCACGTCCCTTGCTCGATCTAGCTGCGGGTACCTAACGATACACCTATTTCTGGCTGCTAAAACAGCTCAATGTAGCTCATTCATGCGCTAGCGTTTGTGATACGAATTTTAGAGCAGAACGGCAAAATCAGAGCACTTCTTTCAACATAAGCAAGCAAAGCTAATGCGCTTGTGTGTAGGAATTTTTGTTTAATAGCATTGTGGTGAGTACTGAAATGCAAGCTTCGTGAAGTTTTGTTCATACACAAACACAACTACGGGCTAATGAACCTATTATTTGAACAGTCACAAAAAACCATCAATTAACGATTCATAACCAGCGGTCTTCCAATGAAGTTTTATGTCACATGCTTATCCACATAATTCGGTACCTATGGACAAGTGCTCGTGAAAGCTCTTCTCAATCATTTTCTCCTCAACATTATCAAAAATGTATTTAGAACAGTTTTCTGAATAGAGGAAATATTGGACACTTATTAGCCCGGAGAAACTCCGGAAGTGCATTTTGCTTCACGGAGATCATATTTTGGTTTATCAGTCTCAAAAAATTGCTTTTTTGAAGTTCTTCCGCTGAGTTTACCTATTTTTACCACGCAATCAAAACTCAGCTCAATAGCCATCTTAGTGCGACATTCGAAAACTTCTAAGCGAAGCTGACAATAAAAAGAAACAATAGAAATAACTGATACAAGATTGCGCTGGCGGAGTAGCAGGAGTTTCCAAAGCCTCCCCGCCTTTTCTTGCGGGGACACTCAACACCACAAGGAAACTTCGGAAGGAGATCACACCTTCAAAAGGCTGAAGGGTGGCTCCGCCTATCGCTCCGCCTCTTGAGTGCGCTCATTCTGAAGTGCGCGTACTCCTGGAATTCATATTGATGGACAGTGAGAATTGATGAAAAGATCGATTTAAAATTTTTTTCTAGGTTTTTGCAAACTTTGGGAACGAATTATGCAGCTGAATTCACAACATTCGAGCTAGTAGCGCCAGTCATGCATTCAACGCAAGTTTGAAACGATACTTCTTCCAGCCACGTGTAGCTGCTCTGCTTAAAGGTGTTTGTTATGCTATATTGTAGCTATTTATTTCAAGTCAAGCGCTCGAACCTCCGAACAGTTAGAAGAGTGTCTAACAAGCATCCGAGAATTCAAACATCTTTTGAGCTTTCCAGCTCTAACGTTGTTTTGAATGGCGGAAACTGAAGAAAACCGAGAACTTGTTCTTATTGATGCCGAATTTACAGAAAGGGATTTCTAGTTTTCCTGTAGATACAGTCATTAGAGAAGTTGAATGCAGGATATCCTATAACCATCATCTAAGTTCGCAATTTATTTGATGTAAGGAAAAATTTCTTTTAGAAAATTCTTGTATGATTTTACAAAAATGACAATCATTAATTCTTTTGTACTTACTTGAGTAGTCGATTTCTCGATTCCAACAGCATGCAAATAATTAAATCGAGTAATCTCGAGAAATGGCTGCTCGAGTAAACAATTTTTTGATCTGATTATCTGATAATCGTTGGATCGAAACATTGAGTCAATTATACTATAGTTTCAAAATTAACTTGAATAAATCAAATTTATTACTTAATTAGGCTCAAAACTAATGAATTGCGTCTTGATATTCCTTTCTCCCAACTAGTATGTTAGAAAAAGACATTTCTTCTTTTGTTCATACTCTCTTGTGATAGAGTTGCTGAGCTCCATATGCATAACGTTTCCATCAAACGCTTCGGTATAGAGACATCCTCTATGATTCACATACAAAGTGATGCCCATTTTTTTCACTTTCCCCCTATTTTTTCACTCTTATTATCTCAATATCTGAAAATCTGTGTTTGTACTACTACACACTTCACAATGAGCCCAGTCAATGGGCGGATTAACACGTTGACGAGCGTGTGCATACGCACATATGCACGCCCTGACTCCCGTTTAGCATTTTCGTGCATCCGCGCATATGCACGCTAGTTTTTTGGGTGTAAACGAAAAGTTTCAAGGTAACTTTTATGCAGTAATACTATTGGTGCCCTGGTTGTCTTAAAGGCAGCGTCCAGCCAGATCCGAGCTCGACGACCACGCCCACTTCCCTCGGACGGCCAACCCCTTATGAACGAAATCTTCTCAGCATTGACGTGTTTTCACATGACCAGTCGAACTTACAGCGTTTACCTGTTGATACTTGCTTTCGACAAGGATAACATCAGAAGCACTCGTCCGGGTTTTCCCAAAATAGCCCCAAAAGGTGGTTTTCTGAGAAACTCACGCTTTTTGAGTTCCATATTCGGAATCAGCGCCATGGAAAGGCCTGGATAACATAAAAATATAGAAGTCGAGAATCTGCCTGGACGCTGCCTTTAAAGAACACAGGGCATCGCGGCAGCTGTTTAGAAGCTTTAGCCGCAAAATTGGGTAGTATGTCCGTTTCTGATGTGGTAAATACATGTTAATTACGTTTTTCCGAAAACGTGGAAACTCTGTGTAGCTGTTTTGAAAACAAACAAAGATGAATCAGGCATAAAACCTGTTATCACGACGCTTTTCTCGAAAAAGGATTGCTCAGATATAGCCATTGCATGGTTTATTGGAGGGAAAACCAGGCAAAAACCTTAATTTGTGTAAGTATTATTAAGACTCCATGGTTTATTGGAGGGGAAACCAGGCAAAAACCTTAATTTGTGTAAGTATTATTAAGACTCTGTGATATACATGCTCTTCTGAACATAGTTTGCATGTTTTATGAATAAGCGTCAAAAAGACTCCCACATAATGTTTTCGTGCATACGCGCGTATGCATGGGCCAAATGCGCGAAAGACGTTATTGTGAGTTTCGTCCAAAATGGCGCGGTCGTCAACGTGTTAATAGGCGGGGTCTGACCTCTGAGCTGGGAAAT